ATATTATATATGGTTTTTCAAGCTTGATATTTGGGTCTCTTAATATTTACTAAATAACAGCCATATGTAAAGACTGTTAAAAGTGGTAAGTGCACCTCAATTTTTTTTGCGTAGTTTGAATTTTTTCTTGTTAAAATACTGGAGGAAGAAAAGAAATGTTCCCAGGCCTAAATTATAGCTACATAATAGTTAAAGGTGAAATGAATGTGATTTGTGCACCAGCACAATGAATTACTCTCCCTCCGGACTAATGGCATCTACCTTTGAAGTAATGCAGAAGCTGCATTAACTGGACACTAACTAAGACAGTGTGTATTTAATGCTGTCAACCATGAGTGCAGAACAGAAACAGATCTTCAGCAAAGGTCTTTTATGGAAGAAAACGGAGGAAAGGTTTCCCTTGTCTCAAGAGCACTAGCAGAAAAACTTCAGGAAGATAAATGACACACTCCACTTTCCTATACACGACTGACAAACTTATGGCTCTTTAAAAAAAAAATCCTTCTAAAGCCCACACAGGTATATCAGGACTGCACCACTGCATGATTATATTTTGCAATTTTTTTCAATCTTGCTCTCACTCCACATTTGGGTTGAAAACTATTTTCTGGTCTTTAATGACATAGTTTTGGTCTATCCTCATTGACTTTTCCGTTACAATTTCATATATTGGGACAATGCAGAAATTTCTTTAAATTAAAATATGTGGAGAAAGGAAAATAGCAGTACACCCCTAGAATGGTTTAGGTCAACGTGATAGTGAGATCAGTATAAATATATGCAGTTGTGTCCGAATAAAAAAGAACAAATATTCATTTTTTAAACTATAAAGTGAACGAAAGTGAAAGGCTACCCAACCTTACAAATTATATTTTAGATCACAACCTACTGAACAGCAAAATCACAAATGTACAAAGTACAAAGCAATCACTTTAAACTTCAACTTTTGCAGAAAGTGTCCTGGCCCTACAACACCATCCCAATGGGTGTATTTCAGAAAAGTTGATCCTAATAGAAACTCTAAAGCAGAAAGTTGACCAGAAGGTGCCACCAAACGCCTCCCCAACCCTAAATGGCCCAAGGAGCAAAAACTGCAGGACAGCACTAGCTTCACGCCGAGAGGGCCATCTCTTGGGGAGTCCCCTGGGGTCATCCCCCAACTACCCGGGAGAAAGGCATCAGAGCGTCGGAAGAAGCTGACACTGAGTTGGGGTAGGATCTAGAGGACCTCGGGCGCCCGAAGGGCCCCAAAAGTACGAAGGGACTGGGGTAAGCCTTTGGGCTTTGGGGGTGGCGCTGGGAGGAGAGGGCGGAGAGCAGGGTGCGGGCGTGCGGGGCGGCGGCCGAGGACCCTGCCCCG